GCCTTTGCCATTGCATACAAGGTCTTTTGTGACCTAGATCTTTCATACATCTCTAGCCTCAAACTAGTGTCCCCATTTGCACTCTCTATTCCAAGAATAAGCACCTATCTCGTTCTCCAAACAGACTTTTCCGGTGACTGCCCTTAAACATGCTCTTCCTTTTGTCTGAATTTTCATCCCCTCTGCCCCCACCTGGAAAGCTCCTACTCCACCCTTCAAGATCCTTAGTGAAGCTTTTGCTGTCACCAACTCCCCCCACACAAAGTTCTCCATAGTGTTACTTTTATAATCCAGTTGAAGAATTTATGCCTGTAAAAGGCCTGTGTAGCTGCCAGGAATGTGAGCATTCCCTCAGCTCATCCAATTCCTCTTACATTCTCAGTAAACTCCTTTTAAAACCCAGCTAACATTCCAGAATTTGCGGTCAGTCTTCCAACAACCTGATCTGGACCCAAGTTCATGGTCACCTTATCCATCCCAACTCTAGCCAGCCATCCTGTGGAAGTATTAGTAGCCATGCTGATGACTCACACCGTACCCTAGAGTAAGCCCTCATTCTTAACCTCCCCATTTCCTATGGTTCTATTTATACGTCTGCTCAGAACTGTTCCACCTCCAGAGTCCTTGTCTCCCCCTCAAGCTCTCTCCTCTACTTATCCTACATTGTACTCATTTCATTTTCAATCCCTACCCCTTTCCCATCCACCCAGTTTACCAGGGCCTCAAGTTKATTCTTCTTACAGGCCAGCCCAAACCCTTGTTGGGCCAAGCCCCAACAATCTCTAATGACCCTACTCTTGAGAGGAGCCCATCATACAAAGCCAGACTGGCAAATCCATTTACTCTTGACAGCTGAGCACTGCTGAAGAAAAATCCCAACTTGGGCCACTGAAATTCATGCTTTCCTATCCTAAATAGGTTCTCAAAAGCATTCCTCAATCTTTTTACTAGTCTGTGATTTTCTCAGTGCTCCTAGTTGGTTATACTGACAAAAATGTGGGACGTGATCTACTGTGAATAGAATATTTAAAAAATCTTTAGAGTATTGGATATGAGAAAGCAAAGAGGCTAAATAAGATAAATAATTCACCCCTAATTTAGGTTCTAAGACAATAATTTCATGGCACTAAGAAATACCACTGCTAACCTATTTTTTCTTAGTTTATTCTAGAGTTTGAAAAACAAGATGAAGTATGAACCATTAGTAAAAATGGCTGTTTTGAGATCCCTTCACGTTCAAGGTACCCTTTGTGCTAATTCTTTATCAATGAATACACAACTTGTTTGTTTTCATTTTAATTTATTCTGTGCAGTTTAAAATAAAAGTTAAAACATCATACAAACCACAGAAGCTTTATCTATAGTACTGACCAATTTTTAAACAAAAATCACTGAGTGATTATTTATGCACATTCCTCATCTTTAGGGTTACATCTTGTTGTTTGTACAAAGGTATTGATAACACACACAGTCTAATTCCTCATGTGCTTATTTGTCGAGCAGCAAGATGACAATGCATCATAGCACACGAGGTTTCCTTTAAGAAACCACAGCAGCAGTATTTGGTGAATGTTATGCATAGAACTGACCCAGAGGTAATGTGAACATTCCTCATCAGAGGGGTAGCAAGGGACACTAACAAATGGGAAATGTAACTTTTTAATATAAGATGTTACTCTTTATGCTTTAAATGTAAAACTCTGAGACACTTTAGAAGCAGACAACACAAGGTGCTTTAACTCCAGACTCCAAAACCAAACACTATTCTATTAGTCGCTAAGAGTCCAGGACCTTTGAGGACTGCTCATTGGCTTTTTAAAGTCAACTTCAAATATATAAGCATTTAGTTTACCAGTCAAAATCTAAGCTACATTGATTACATGTTACATTAAAACATATCTACTGAGAAAGGCTGAATTTTAAAAAGATTACATTGTTGACTTCAAAACTGTTATTCTTAAGAGAAACAATGCACTACTTTCAATCTTTCAACTTCTTAAGATGCCATGTTGTGTGAATCCATAACTTTATATCTTTCCATCTTTCAACAAAATATTTTAAAATGGTTCTTAAACCTAATAACATCTAAAGAAATGGTCGGCACGTCTGTGAAACGGCTGTTCAACACATAACAATGCTTCCCCTATGAAAATCCAGTGAGTGCATTCTATATTTAACTTGACATAAGTATTTCAAACCCATTTTAACAGTGCTATACAAATATTTAGTGTTTTTTGGCATTTAAATCTGAAAGATGCTACCACACAGGTAATTTTCACCAAAAAAAAAAAAAAAAAAAAAAAAAAAAAAAGTTCAGAAGCAAAAGACTGATCTGGGAATAGTTAGCTAAGAAGGAAATGAAACCAATCTACCTGAGTCCTTGAATTTAGAATCAATCCTCAAAAAGATGGCATACTCCAGAACTATCATTTTGGAGGAGGGTTCAGGTAAAAGTCTACTATTTGTATGTGTTTTTAATGCTCATAACCTTGAAATTAACCACAGGATAGTCCACTTCCCACTGAATGACTCATTTTCAGTGAGACTAAAAATGCAGCTGGGATGCAGTTCTGGTTAAAATTCAGCTACAAAAAACAATAAGATAAAACAGGGAAAGAATAGAAATACCACACCACATAAATAATTCTGCATTAATAACTATTTCTCTTCCATCTCTTAGTGGTTTTAGAAATATGCACTATGTTACATGGGGTGCATGAAAAGAAAGCTTTAAATAAAGGATTAGCCTGCAGATTCTTCATTATTGGCATCAGTAATTTCACTCTCCTCCAGTGAGTTATAGCATGGCAAGTATGACCTATTATATGCTCTTAGGTATATTTCTCAAGTAAGTTAAGCAGAACATTTCTTAAAATGCTATAAAACAACGGAAGCTTGAAGCATTAGTGCCAATAAATAATGCCCAACATATATAGCTTTACAGGGATTACATTCCATTAATTTGCAGGTGACTACAGATTTGGGGGTAGGACTGCATCAGCTATCATTCTTTAATACTGGCACAACAGGACACTCATCAGCTACTTAAGTTTTTCAGTAATTATTAACTAAACCTTATATAGCCACCATGAAACACAAACATGAAGAAAGCCAGCACTCAGAGCATTCTAAAATAAAAAAGTCTAATTTGATATCCTTCCAGCACCAAGATGCTTTCAGGCATTCATTTTTCTAACTGATGACCATGTGAATGTAATGTCTAGCTGATACATGAAACATTAAAATTAATGCTAGAAACTGTGTCACTACTCTTTTATGCCCTAGTCATACAGCATCCAATAAGGAAACGAAGACAGATGACTATGCTCCTCTCGAAGATGCTCCTCTAGCATCTGCGAGCACACACACAGTTCTGCTCTGTAAATTCCCTTTTAATATGTCCAAAGGTCTACAGTATCAGCAAAGATGTGCTCATCAGGAACACAACCTAGGGCAGAGCTAGTCAACTGTGAGGAGACAAACAAAACTGAATGAGSAAGAAGAATGAGGTATCAAACATAATTACAAACCTCCATAAATTGGAGGTGATGACTAATTCTGAGAAACAAAGGTGAAAAACAGAAGAACTCAGATTAATGAAACAAACTGGCTTTGCATTTCATTCTTATACAAAGCAGGGAACACTGAACAGTAAGGTTTGTGAATCCATWCCTCTCTTCCCCAGTAAACACTCAGTCCAAAGTTCAGTGAAGACAAACATGGATACCTGGCAAGAGTTGTTTTACAATTATGCAGGTATTTCCACCCGCTATATTTTCAACACCCAGTACCTCTGAGGTCTTGTCACTGGATTATTGTGAAAAAGTAGTTTCTCCACAACACATGCCTTAAGCATAAAGTCCTCCCATACAAAGGGAGTGACTAACCCTACTCTTCCTAGAGAATAGTTCTTCCTATTCCTAACTACTCTAAAATCTTGAATAGATTACCCAAAAAAATGTATTTCATAGAAGATAACTATTTAACATGAGTCAGTATTAAGTATTCCAATAAATAGATGCCATCTTGAAAAGAAAAATAAATTTATAATGACAATACCATTTTTATTTAATCAGATACTATCAGTTAAGATGCACTGTATTATTACAAAGAAAAACACTACCCTTGAAACTACAACCTGATGCCTTATAGCACAGAAAATATTTTATATTTATTAAAACAGTGCTCTTAAAAGATTTTTGTCACACCAATCTTGTGTGTATGTAAAGAATGTGGGAAATAAACTGGTCAAGTTATAACTATAACTTCATATTCTGAACCCAGCTCTTCTAAATCACTTCTCAAGTCACCGTCCTCGCTGTCTGCATTTGCCCACATGACATGGCCCTTGGCATCTTCAAGAGGACTGGCGATGCAGCATTTCTTGAAAGAATGCTCCACCACTGTCTTCTGTTTAATGTCAGTGGGAAGTTTTGGACAAAACAATGTCTGATGTCTTAATGACAGTCCAGCTCGACGCATGAATCGGTCACACCAGCCTCTTGTTGCTTTAAATTTTGTTTCATCAATTCCGAGGGTTTTGGCAATTTCCCCCGCCTTTGACTGCATTACTTGGCGTGTGATAGGCAATCCTTTAGCACATGCCTCACTGACAAAATGTAGTACAGCTTCATCTACTTGTGGGTATCTTCCTTTCTTAGGTCCTGTAAAACATTTTGTGGTTGCTTTGCAAGAAAATATGGAATTTCGGTCATTCCTCCAACGGCGAATATTTGCTTCACTAATATCAAATGTTCGGCCTGCTGCTCTGTTTCCATGCTTTTCTGCATATACAATAACCCTGCGTTTCAATGCTGAGTCATAGTGTAATCTTTTAGAAGACATTTTAAAAGGCCAATTAAACTGAAACATTTGATACCAATAATACATGTCAGTTAAGGGGATGCCACTATAAGCTATAAATTCACACATGCACAARCTAGGATAATTATGTGACTATCCTGGCTGACAGTAATGAGATGCATCCCAATTTCAGACAAGTTAAAACATGAAGAATACATTTTGAATATTAAAATATGCTTTTCAAGCTTGAAATGTTTATGAGATTCACACCAGTGCAAACAAACAAACAAAAAAATCCCAAGAGCCAAGGAATAAATGTGTTGAGCAGAAAGCTAGCGAAACTAAATATTATCTTTAAGATGAAATTTTCAAAGGTCCAATTTGGTTTTAATTCCCTTTATTACTATATGGCTTACATATAAATTTTTTGAACTGGATATGAAATCCAAGTATAAATGTTCTTCAGTCATTTAGTATATTTCAAAGCCAAGTCACTAAGACAGAGGCTCACAATTGCCTTTCGTTGTATACTAATAAAGGACCCTGTCTGGGATCAATGGCCTTCGTCAGTAGGTGCCCTCCTTTGGCGTGCAGATCTGATTCTGTGTGGAGAGGATGAAGGGTCTTCTTCAGTTTCAGACCCTGAAGGCTCATGATCTCCCTCCTGGGATCCTGTGTCTCCCACTAGTTCCCGTAGAAACTTGAATTTAGATAAAAACAGATGCCACACAAAATACCAACCTAAAGAAAGAAAGAAAACATTAAAAAAATTATTATAATATTAACAATTGGAACATTAGAGTTAATTGGGAGGTGTAAGACAAAACAATATATAAAAACAAATAAATACATGTAATTATGATCTATTCATATAACAAGCATTTATTAAGCATTGATGATATACAAGGCCTAAGGATAAACACTGAGACTATATAGTAATGGCAAAAAGAGTTTCTGCTTTCATGGAATTTAGAACCCAAGCTTGGTGCAGTCACATTAAAATTACGAGATTATGATATCTAAGAAAGAATATTTTTACATTAAAATCAATTTTTGGAGAATTTTTCTGGGGAAAAAGGAATTTATTTGGCAAATGTCTGTAACATTCACATCTAAGAGATACTGACTAAAAGCAAGTGTGCATCAACCAGAATAAAGGTGTCAAATAGTGGGAATCAACTGTGCTATGGTGAAAATTTCAGTCAAGTTCAAGCTATTAAAAATTTCTAGAAATAATTTTCATAGAAAATTAATAATTTCTTTAATTACATGACAAAAGAATAAAGTCAGAGAACCAGTTTTAGGTTCAAGATTTTTAAAATACTAATTTTAAAAAAAAGCATTTTCATGTCAAAATTGTTAAGGAACAAACATCAGTCAATAAAAATTCAAACAGGATAAAACTTSTAAACCCGGCTTGGTGGCTCTAAGACATTAAGAGCATATAATAAACAAAATTAACCATTATAACAAAGGGTTTTGTGCCGATGTGTTTTCTTGGTGCCTTCTAAACTCGGATACTACCCTGAGCAGCAAAGAACCATAGCATATTCTATGGAAACAAAGCCCAACTGGCTTTTCTACCCAGGGGTTAAAGGAGGTCAAGACAATGGCCACTTTTAATGTCACTTGTTTCTTAGAATCTGTGAAAACAAGAATATATGCTTAACATACACTCCTTGGCACTAAAAGACTAACTCCCAGGATATTTAATCCATTTCTCGGGTTTTTGCTTTCTATAACCATTTTTGAGCATTTTGTCTGAGTAAAGCACCTAACTTTGTAAAATACTTTAATAATGTTCCAAATTAATGTGCTCTCCCTTCATCCAAAATTCTGCAAAACAGGCACAGTAAATCACTGGAAAGAGCATTGGGAAGATTCACAAGTTATCTGGGGTTTGGTGCCTGGCACTGAGTATGCATTTTGTAAAAAGCTCAGCTAATGTGAGCTACAGTGATCCCTGAGCAGAGGCACCTGAGGTTAACTGTTGTTTTTTTAGTTATTTCTTCTTCTAGAGATAAAATTCATGTACCATGAAATTCATCCTTTTAAACTGTAAAATCCAGTGGTTTTTAGTGTATTCACAAGGATGTGCGTATCACTACTGAACTCCAGAACATTTTTAACAATCCCCCCAAAAGCCCAAAACCCTTTAGCATTCACTCTCTATTCTCTCCTCCCATGGCCCCTGGCAATCACTACTCTACTCATGTGGCCATGAACTTGCCTATTCCAAACATGTCACATAAATGGAATCATAAATATTTGGCCTTTGCTCACTTTGGCTGTTTTCCAGGTTCCTCTGTACTGTTGCACATGTAAGTACTTCATTTTCTTTTTATTTTCATTTCACCGTATGAATATAACATATTTTGTTTAAACTTTTACCAACTGATTGGACATGTGGGTTGTTTCTACTTTTTGGCTGTAATAAAAATTAGTTTCCACTTTTTGGCTACAGTGATTATCTGTATACAAGTGTTGGCATGTCTATCCATGCTTGGGTATATATCTAGAATTGCTGGGTCGTATGGTAGGTCTGTATTTTACTGCCTCAGAAATGGCTGAACTGCTTTTCAAAGCAATTGCAGCACTCTGTGCTACCACCAGCAACACCCCCATCCTCACCCACACCTTTTACTGTCCATCTAAATAGTCAACCTAGCAGGTATATTTTGATTTGCATTTTCCTCATAAATAATAATGTTGACCACTTTTTTGTGCTTATTAGCCATCTGCCTAATTCTTTGGATAAATGTCTAGTCACTCATTTTAAAAATTATTAAGTTGTGTTTTTATGTATTACACAGATGCTTATCAGATATGTTGTATGAATATTTTCTCCCATTCTGTGAGCTATCTTTTTGCTGCCTTGATAATGTCCTCTGAAGCACAAAAGTTCTTGATTTTTGAAGAAGTCTAAGTTCTCTCTCTCTTTTATTTAAGTTTTTTTAGCTGCTTATGCTTTTGGTGTCCTATATAGGAAACTACTGACTTACCCAAGGTCATGAAGACTTACACCTATGTACTCAAAGAGCTTCAGAGTTTCAGCTCTTGAAGCCAGATTTAAAGTTAGGTAGTCGGTGTAGTTAGGTAAATCGGGTATAATATCAAGTGAGATCTAAAATGGAGGCCATGTTGAGAATGAATTCCGGGAAAAGTTGAACAACTCTTGGAATGTTAATGAAGTCCAGGAAAAGCCCAAGGCCAGAGCCCATCCCAAAGAAGTGTTAAAAGAACAGCCCCCAGCAAACTTGAAGATGCTGACTCATAAGTCCTTCCTGCCCAGATTACTTCTTTGGCCCACCTGTGTCCCACCCCTCGGGCCTTCCCACCTACGTTCCATCACTGAAGGAACTACGAAAAGGGGAGACAACCACACTTCCACAGATTCCATCTCTTGGATCCCCTTCTTCCTCCGGGAGAAGTCTTTTCTGCTGTCCTTTAATAAACTTCTAATTTCCACTCTGACCTTGCCTTGGCGTGCTTCTCCGGTGTTATTCTTCAACACTGGGGAAGCAAGGACTCGTCACCGGTCATTGGCGGTAACACTCTTACATTTAAGTCTTTGACCCATTGTAGTTAATTTTGGTGTGAGAGGTGAATCCAAATTCATTCTTTTATATATGGATATCAATATTTTTCACCCAGAACATGGTCTTGACAACTTTGTCAAAAATCAATCACTTAGTAGTTTATTTCTGGAGTCTCAAATCTACTAACTTGTATGCCTAGCTTTATATCAATACCACACCATCTTCATTACAGTAACTCTGTATTAAGTATTGAAACCAAGTATACACCCACTGTGTTCTTTTTCAAGTTTGTCTTTTGATTATTGAGTCACTTGCATTTACAGGTGAGTCTTAGAATAAGTGTGTCAACTTTTAGGGAAAAGGCAGCAAAAATTTTTATAGGGATTGAACTGAACCTGAAGATTACTCGGGGGACCTACACTGTTTTTGTAATACTTCCCTGTACTCACCCAAATCTTCCCACATTAAACATGCATGGTTTTGATAATCAGGAAAAATAATTAAAAAGTTGGTAAATAGGGCTGGGGATATGGCTTAGTGTCAGAGCACTTGCCTCATGCATGTGAGGCACTAGGTTCGATCCTCAGCACCAAATAAAAATAAATAAACATAGATATTGTGCCATGTATAACTAAAAAAAAATTTTTAAAAAAGCTGATAAATAAATCAAAAATACTTACGTAAACTGATTTAAGATACCTCCTCAATGTCATTAATTGGCCTAAATTAGTAAAGTCAGTTGCTTTCAATAGATACTAAAAAAAAAAAAAAAAAAAACTTTCTATAACTTTTTAGTTTTCAGAACATAACTTCAAGTTGTAAGAACTTATTTGACAAGATACTGTGTTAAACACATTATAAAAGTGAATGTACTATCAAGAAATTATAAGTCAGTAAAAGATGACTTGACTTCAGTAAGACCAAAGATTCCAACAGTGTCTACAAGGTAATAAGTGACCAAAAAGAAGAATAAGGGAGATGATAAGAAAGGGGAAATCTTTTACTGAAAGGAGATCATGATTGAAGGGCCATCACCACTGGATTTCTAACCATAAAATGTTCTAGTGACCTTGAGATGATTAATATTAGAAAACAAAGTCTCCAGCACAAACATCTACAAAATAAAGAGCTGAGGGTAGTAGCTTCTCCAATTTTTATAAAACACACACCCTCAAATTTTTAAAATCACTATCAGTAACCAAATAGTATGGAGATTTAATTCCAAGTGAAAATTCTGAAGGCAGTGGCAATGGGAAAGACCCCAGGGTCTAGAGAAGCAAATTATACCACGCCCCACCACCACTCTCCTCCCATCCAGGCCTACTAAACCATGGAGTCTCCATACTTCTATACTTGTTATCCTCAAATCTGGGGATAAGCAAACATTTAAAGTGTGCAATTCTGCCTAGGTTTATGTCCTGTGTGGTTTGCATAGAAGGATGTGGACAGTGGCACTGTGACAAAAAAAAGCATGAGGTAGAAAAATTCCCCTAATAGACGTGAGGTGTTAATCTGCTGGGCAGATGAACAAATAGCCACTATGGGTTTTTTACAATGACTATTGTAATGATAGGGTGGGGAGGGCAAAGAGATAAATCGTAGTGTTGGTAGCAGTAGAATGGTAGCAGTAGTCACTAAATTGACTAGTTCAACAAGATGCTCTCTGAGGGACTTAACTTTTGACAGAACTATAAAACTACCTGGGGCCAGGTGCAGTGGTGCATGCCTGTAATACCAGCCACCAGGAGGCTGAGACAGGATAGCAAGTTCAAAGCCAGCCTCAGCAAAAGAAAGGTGCTAAGCAACTCAGTGAGATCCTGTCTCTAAATAAAATATAAAATAGGGCTGGGATGTGGCTCAATGGGCAAATGTCCCTGAGTTCAATCCCTGGTTAAAAAAAAACAAAAAACAAAAAACCTTAACCTGAGGAGAGATGGAGCAGGGGCTGGAGTGAGGGGACTCTCTAAATCACAGTACCTAGCACTGAAGATGCTTCTATGCACAACAGAGTGTTTATCAAACAAGGCTACCAGTTTGAATAAAGGATGATACTAAAAATTATAGGTAGTTTGAAGGAAAAGCAACTACCCAAGACATTTTGGGAAAAGCACTATAAATCCCCAATGGGTATACACAGGWAAAGTATGACTTAGCAAAGAAACTGAGAGGCAATATAATGCCAAATAAAACTGCTAAGATATT